TTGAAGTTGAAGTTCATTTATTTGTTTAAGCAGGTTGATTAATTGGCAGCTGTAATAGCTGATGTGGACCTGCTGTCCTAACCCACCCATCCCACCCCAGGGGAGGACATCCATCACACAGTAATCTCGTGTGTGGGAAATTAACGTCTCCTGCCCCAACCCTGCAGGAGACGGGACCTCCATTTATTCGTCCCTATCCGAGAAGACTAGAATATCTAACCATTTCTTGATGTTCTAGAAAGGTAGCAAATTCTTCTCAATTATTTTAAGACCTTGAGTGTTGGTCCGGCCGGGACTCGAACCCTCGACCTCCCGCACTACAATCCAGCGCTCTATCCATTGAGCTAACCGGGAGGCGGTTCATAGATCTAGCCACGGTATGTCAAGAGCCAGATAAAGAAATTATGTGGCTCCTACGAGCTGCACGTATGTAACGCTCTTGTTTAGGTTATGACCGACCGGAGAAGGCTAGCAAGGGCCAGGCACATTTTTGATTAGATATTTTCAAATATTAATGGGTCTATTCTCAGTGCCCGAGAAGAGACCACAACGAGGTTATATCCTTATATCAAGTCAGCCAATACTTGCTGTCAACTAAACATAACAAGTCACGCAAGAAGCTTTCGGTCTGTTTTCTTGACGCAAGCTAGTTACTTGGAGTTTTCAGTTTTGGATTAGTAATCTAAATAGTTGTTTGTTCTGTGGAAGGGTTTAGTTGAGGCCTATCAAAGGAATACAAAACATACATTTCAATCGGTATTTAGGGGAGAGCTTTGAGTGTTTACATTTCTCTGGCGTCTGTGGCTATATGAGCGGCAGCCAATCAAGGTTCTCAAATGACTAAGTGACCCAGGCAGTCAGAAACTTTTCTAAAGAAATTTAACAAATCGACGGAACTAGACGATCCAAACTGTTATTGGTCGATGAGGAACTACCTAACGATCACGCTCAGTTTACACTAGGCTCAGAATACGAACCAAAATGGAGTCATGGATGTTGACAATTAGAAATTGCGTGAGGTCGACTTTTTGACCGGCAGTCCTAATTTTTCTAAGAACTTCACCATCCAATCCTAAATATCATATACGATTAAGAACTATCTAGCCATCTGCCTTCGTTTACCCGTTATGATGATAACTATAGAATCCCGATCAGTAAGGAGCACTCTTAGATGCCTCATCAATGCCAGTATGAGCAACTGACAACACCATTCGAGAACAGATAATATTCCTCTGGTTATTAAGTAATCAACATTTAAGAGGCTGTCTGCCTAAGAACGGATAAGGCAAATTTCGGACCTTCACCGACTTCCCTGATTTTTACTGTGAAAGTCGAGACTTCTATCCCATGAACAAATATTGCGTTTGTTTTGAACCAGTCTTGTTTTTTCACTTTTTACGAGATATTTTTCAAGGTGACCTCAAAGGCACCCAGTTTCCCCCCGGACCTCCATAATTTAGCTACAAAAGTCGATCGCTGCTGTAGCCGTATTTTCAATTCTAACGAGCTTTCTATTACATATGTCTAAGATCAACCTTTTGCCATTATGTTAACGGTAAAATAATCACACTGTATACATTTTTCAGTGAGTTACAAATTTTTCAAAATACTTATACCTCGAGCACTGAAATTTGTGATGCGTGAAGTACATGTTGTTGAAAGCTATTTTCTCTTATGTGGGATCTAATCTAGAGTTAAATCTA